TTATCTTCAAAAGATTTTGTGAAGGATTATTTGCTTTTATCTATAATTAAACTCTATATAAAAATAATATTTTGCATATTTTGATCAAATTTATAAAAAAAATAATGTCATCTTATATCAATTAATTTTATGTGTAATGTTATTAATAATATAATTATTAAACTAAATCTAATTCTCTATCTAATTTAGTGTTATTTATAGTAAATATATTAATATATTATCATCATTCTATTCTTGTATTATAATCTATCTAAAATCCCACTTTTTTGTTTATTAAGTTAATCTGATATTTGTATAGTATTATTTGAAAGTAACTTTACTGTAAATTTTTTAATTACTGCATATATATCTTATCTAAAAATATATAGTAAAGATATTTGCTTTTCAAAAATATTTTCTCTATTTTATTGCTTTTATTTTATAATTTTATGCTAAAAATTAAATATTATCTATTATTTTATTATTAAACTTTTTATCTTCTCTAAATATAATTACTTTAATATTTTGATTATAAATATATTTATTTATAATTTTATTAATAAAAAATTGTAAAACTCTGAATTATTTTATTTTAAGACAAAAAGCATTAATATTTTATAGATATAATATTTTTTGATACTAGTTTTTTTCATAGATTTAGATTTATATTTTCTTTTATACTCATATAATAAAATAATTATAATAATTTTTTTAAAGATTAATTTTTTTAATATTTAAATTTAAAATTATCTTTTAATAAAATTAATATAATAATATCTTGGTAAAATTTTAAATGTTATAAATTAGTTTAATAAAATCTTATAATAATAAATTTTTATATATTTTATAATAGTAAATATTATAAAATAATAAAATTTTAAATAGAAAATTTTAGTAACATCATCTTATTATTCATAAAATTAGAATAATTTATTGGTTAGAAATATTTATTACACCGTTAGTTAATTGGACAATTTTGAACAGTTTTAGATAGGTTTTGAATACTTTTTTTTATGTCTAAAACCTTATCCAAAACTTTTAAAATCTAAAACTGTGTTTAAAACCCATTACTAATTTATTATAATGTAATATTTGATTATTATTTATCAAAATCAATTTTTTTATTCTATAAGATGATTTTAATAGCTTAATTTATATATAATGATTCTTAGTATTTTTATAAAGAATATTATTGATATTTAATTCTAAAATTTTAATAAATAGATTAATTTGTATTTTAAAATTTTGCTAATTACATTTATTATATAATATTATTATAATAAATTTTTTTTTTTAGTAGAAAAATTTGTAAAAATCTTATTTTTAGATTGTAATATTAAATGATATATTATTTTTACTTTTTTTATTTAATAATAATATTGTCTTAACTAATTAATTAATTGAAATATCTTGAACTAATTAAAATTTTTATTTATTATTATTTAAAAAGACTGATTATAATGTTAATAAAATTATAAAAAATAATTTTTTATTATTTATATTACAAACATCTAAATTATATATTATTAAATAATAATTTTATTTTAAGTAAGAAATATAGAATTCCTATTCCTTAAATGGTAAGGATTTTTGATTTAAATTTTGAATTTTATGAAATTTTTAATATGATTTTATCAAAAAAATTTCAAACATTTGATCTTAATAATTTTAAAATTGACTTTAATCAACAAGGAGAATTATAGGTAATAATTTATTTGAAAGAAATTCTCATAACTTTTAAGAAGCTTTTAATTTGAATATAAATTTATTTTTTACGAGATTAAGTTTTTATAAAATTGATCGACCAGTTATTAATTTACCTGGTCATTACTGTAATTTAATGTAATGATTAAACCGAAAAGATAATTAACCGAAGGATATATAACCAAAAAAAAAAATATAAACCGGTTAGTTAACCAAATTTTAATTAATTTTAATTACCATCCTCAGGTATGATAAAAAGACGTAACGCGTCCCATATCACATGATCTGCGACTAATTTCATTGTCTCACGATAAAACTAAATTGATTGGTGCTTTTTATTTTTTATATGATTTTTTTTATATATTTAAGGAAATTTCACTTCTTTTTACCAAACTTTATTTTCTGACTTTTCTCTGACAAAACTCAAAAGACAAGAAATTAAGAACGATAAAAAAAAAATTAATTTTTTGAGTACAATAAATATACTTTGAGCAAGGTTAGTTTATTCGTAAGAAATAAGAAAATGTTGTTATAATACTTTTCAATAAACTTAAATCTCTTTTTTTTTGTATATTTTGTATAGGAACTAAGACCAAAAAATTCATCGTTGACCGTTTGTACATTAACATTTGAAAATTAATTTTTGTCAATCAAAAAAATAAACCTAATTGAAAGGTATTTTAATTTGATATTGGTAAGAATCCATTACAATTAATATGCCAAATATTTATTGAATGATGACCATGTGATTAAAAACAAAAAATTATTTTGGTTAATCGTTTGCGTTTTATCAAATTCTTTTTAGTCACAATGGGAAAAGTAACAAAAAAAGATGCCAACAATACTCAACAAAATGATCAAAACAAAAAGAAAAGAAAAGGAAGAGATTTAAATATAGATGATCGTTCTGTAAGGCGACCAAAGGTTATTTCTATACGACGAAATGAGATCCCGATGCTGCCGGAGATCCATATTCCTTCAAAACCGATTCCTTTATTAACGTCAAGTAATAAATATAAATCGGTGAAGATGCCACTACAAAATGATCAAAATGATCAGACATTTTCAAATGAAGCACAATCAAATAATCTGGCACCTTCAAATGATATGTTACTTTCAAATGATCCGTCCCTTTCGAATGACCAGGCACGTTCGTGTGATCAGGCACGTTCGGATAATCAGGCACTTTCGGATAATCAAGCACTTTCAGATAATCAAGCACTTTCGGATAATCAAGCACTTTCGGATAATCAGGCACTTTCGGATAATCAAGCACTTTCGGATGATCAGGAACTTTCGGATGACCAGGCAAATTCGAATGGTCAGACACGTTCGAATGGTCAGGCACTTTGGAATGATCAGGCATTTTGGAATGATCAGGCATATTGGAATAGTTTTCTGGCACGTTACCAGGCACATTCGTATGATCAGGCAAGTTTGAATCTACTACGTCAACCACTTTCAGATGATCAACCACTTTCAGATGATCAACCACGTCCAGATGATCAATCACGTTCAAATGATCAACCACGTCCACCACGTCAACCCCGTTCAGACGATCAACCGCGTCCAGATGATCAACCACATCCAGATAATCAACCACGTCCAGATAATCAATCGCCTTCAAATGGTCAAACGCCTTCAAATGATCAAGCACGTTCTACAACAGTCACAACCAGCTCAAGGATTACGATTACAATGACAAGCATCACCACAAATGATAATGTTCGTTCCAATACAACAACTTATGTTACAACTGAAATCTTACCTGCATAATAGGAAAATGATACTTTACGTAACATTTATGGTCGTAGATAATGCATCAGATTTTTTTATGCAACGTTTTCACATTGAATTATCAAAAAATAGAGTGTGAATTCATTAGTTTTGTCCTTATGATGAAGGGCTAGAAAAAATAAACCAATTCTTGTTCTAATAGTTTAAATCAAGAATTCAGCGTTACAATCCAATCATCTGTATATTTTTTATTTTTATTTTTTTTTTTTTGCACTTTAAAACCTTGGCAATAAAATTATCAATAATAACAAGCTCAACTGATTTATAACATCAGTTACTTTTTTTAAAGCTGAAATTCGTATAGTCTATTACATTATTGTGACATCATCATTTAAATCCCGCGAATATAAATCACGTGAATATAAAAAATAAATATTTATTATAAATATCTTTATTATTTACTTTAGCATGCTAAAAAGACATTTGGGCGCTTATACTTATATTATGGTTTAGGACCAACAGGTTTTGCGGATATAATTCTATCGCTCATCCCAATCGCTGGAATGCAAAGACCAAGAAAGAATAGCTCGTAAAAAAGCACGTAATATTCTTAATGAATCTTATATTAGAGTCTCATCATAAATTGATCCGCCATTAAACAACAACGAATAGAAGCAACTATATAAGATTACATATCTTCCTTGTTCTGATCAACATTTGTTTGCCGTATTTATTTAAAACGTAATTCAAGTGATGCAGAAGTTACAGTTATTTTTGATATTCTATCGCGTTGATCTTTGTATATTTGATAAGAATTTTACAAAATAAAGGCTTGAATAATTCTAAAAATCTAATAGTTTAAGAAAGAAATTAAACAAATATTTCACTTAATGAGTTTTTTTTTTGGTTATACTTACTAAATAAAGAAAAAACAATTAGGGTAAAGCCTTTTTAGAAACAAATATGAAAAACACATTTCTATATAATTCTAAATTTATCTAATAATCAATATACATTAGTAAAAAGATATTTCTTTTATTTTTATCTAATTTTATTTATAAATATGTATTTTATGAATTTATGCAACCAATCGGAATAAGCTGATCTGCATAAAAATGATTATATGAGAGTCAAAATTTTTCAGAACCTGATTTTCTAGCAATTTTCCCATATCATCTTTAGGAAAATTGATCAAAAATAAATTATAACAACGCAACGCAACCAGTTGAGTTAATTTCAACAATCCATTTCCATGATTTCATGTTACTCATTGGTGAGTCTCCAAGACCTTTAAGGTAAAAAAGAAAACATTTTTAATACAATAAATATGATATTTTTATTTTTATAATCATTTTTATTTTTAACTCTTTTATTAAATATAATTGTTTGTTTAAAGACAAGAATAATATCTTCGCTAATCGAAGAACTCATGCTACTCGCAAAGAAGTGGCAAGAAAACTTGTCCAGATAGATTTCGATCAAGAGGATTTAAACCTCGAAATCTTCTTTGAATGAGTGGATAGCTCATACTACTCGCGAAGAAGTGGCGAAAAAATTTGTGAAGTTAGATTTCGAAGAGGATGAAAACCTCGAAATCTTCTTCGAATGGGTGGATAACTCATACTACTCGCGAAGAAGTGGCGAGAAAATTTGTGAAGTTAGATTTCGAAGAGGATGAAGTCCTCGAAATCTTTTTCGAATGGTGGATAATTTGAATATACAGTAGGTGTATTCATTAATTACCTTTCATAAACGTTCATTTAACTTCAATTGTTAGTCTAACTTTTATTAATTATTTCCAGAATTATCATACAAAAATCTTCTTTGAATGAGTGGATAACTCATACTTCTCGCGAAGAAGTGGCGAGAAAATTTGTGAAGTTAGATTTCGAAGAGGATGAAGTCCTCGAAATCTTTTTCGAATGG